TGGAACCACCTGAATTGGCCCGCCACCTCTCCTCTCCGCTCATTCCCCCGCCTGTCGCTTTCTACAGGATACATGCAGTGTCTGTCCCAGACACACCAAAGTGGAACCTGCCAAATGAGTGCCTTTCAGAGGCCGGGGGGAGCAGGAGGGCTGGCGGCCTGGCCTCCCTCCGCCTCTGCATGGCCGGAGCCTCAGCCCAGCCCAGGGCCTCCGGGCTGAGGGCCACCGTGGCCACGGGCACTTTCATCGCGTCCTAAGAGGAGTCAGTGTGGGACTGAGGGAGGATCGGGAATGTAGGGCGGGACCACGGTGATGTTCCCGGGTGCCGAGGGGGAAGCAGGACACAGTGATTGTACGCAATGAAGTGTTTTTGATTTAATTAAATGCAATGTAAGGTTTGGTGCATATATTCCTATTTTCCATTAAATTAACTCTATTTCTAAAGCATATTTTGATTTACCATCAAGAGCAATAAAGCGTTAAATCTTATTTTAAAGGTGTTCTGTGTATCTTTCATTGGAAACCACCTGTGATTGTGAACTTTTCGCTTCTACACACCCGTTGTTACCCCGAGGAAGGGAGGGCGCGTTCAGCACAAATACCGCGAAATGCAGGGTAAGGCACCTGAGCCTCCTGAACACAAATACTGCGGGTGGGAAAAAGACCTCTTACCCTCTGAGGCAGCATGGAGGGACCGGAGAGCAGTGTGCTAAGCCAACAAGCCAGGCAGAGAGCGACAGGCATCACATGACCTCACTCATATGTGGAGTCTCATGAGCAAAGTAAACTGATGAACAAAATGGATCCAGAGACATGGGAGCAGAGAACAGACTGAGGAATCTCAAAGGGAGGGTGGAAGAGATCAACCAAAGACCTTGTGTGCATATGTGCATAACCCACGGACCCAGACCACAGGGTGGGGAAGGCCTGGGAGGCAGGGGCAGAGAGGTCATTGGGTGGGAAAGGGGGGCATATGTAATACTTTTAACAATGAAAATATATATAAATAAAACATATATATATATATAAAACACATGGTGAGAAGAAAGCTGTGGAAAGGAGTAATGGGGGGAAGGCAGTGGGGTTCAATCCAAACACTTTCTGTGCCATTTTGAGGCCTGATTGCTGGCTCCAAGTTCAATGCTTTCGAGTTGAAAGCGTGCATTTACAAAGGAAAGGCTCTCCGATTCCTATGGCTGCAGCCTGGGGGGGGGGATCCGAGGCTGGCTGGCTGGGGGTGGCAGAAGGACCAGGACTTCTCAGGGTGGGGGAAGCTGCAGGCCCCAGCACCCACGGCCCTGCAGCCACAGGAGGCCACCCCGTCATCACAGGAAAGAACATGCAATGAGGCCTCTGGGACTCGGACCACGGCGGGGTGGGGGGGGGGGGGGGGGCTGATAACCCCCAAGTTGCAACCTGAGCAGAACAGCCTTCCTGGTGCCCAGGGGCAGCTGCAAACCACAGGTGCAGCCTGGGCAGGTCAGAGCCCACCACCTAGTCCCTGAGGCTTGGGCCGGGGGCATGAGAGGACAGAGACCACTGGCAACACAGGCATCCCTCATTTTATTGCGCTCACAGATGTTGCATTTTTAACAAGACCCTCCACCAGCAAAAAGATTACGGCTTGCTTTACTGCACTGCTCCCTTGTTTATGGTGGTCTGGGGCCGAACCACAGTACCTCTGAGCTATGCCGGTCCAGCCAGAGGGGACCCCACCCTTGCACAATTATGGGCTTACTGGACACCCCAAGGCTGGGCCACATGGACACCACTCCTCCAGCTGGCCTGGGTGCCTCTGAACAGTGGGTGCTGAACAGAGCCAAGCCCACAACATATGGGGCCATAGCCTTGGAGCCAAGCTCCACAATCGGGTCCCTGCAGGACTACCAGCCAGCGATCACCAGGCCGTGCCTGGGCCTGATCAAGCCAAGAGAGCCACTCCTGCCCCGCCCAGCAGCTAAACCCGAGTCGACTTAACCTGTGCTTCTTCCTTAATCACCTTCACATCCACGT